AGAAGTAGCTCAAACTCAAATGTCATGATATGTGTGCCGATGACTATGTCAAAACCTATGTAGAATTTTACTAACTTCAATTTTATTTATTTCCCTTTGCCGAGTAAAATTTTTCCAGGAAATTGTTTTCTCGTTCAACTGCATTTTTACATCTGAAATCTAGGACCAGGCCACGTAAAATGGATTGGATAGCAAGCACAGAATCATCTTCATTGTCCTCATTACCCACCGCAGCACTACCTATTCCGAGAACGAGACCCGCGGCTCGCACCAATCCGACAAGCACGTCAAAGTCCGGGCCTCGGTAAGTGGCACAAACCGCTGCAATCGCTTCCATATCGTTGCCGACGAGTGTCGATGCCCACAGCGATGCGAATCGAACACTCACTGACTGTTCTTCTTTATCAAACTCCGCTTCCTTTGCAGCAAACAGAGACTGAAGCTTTTTCAGGGAAAGAGAGGAAGCCTTCTGTGCCGAAGTACTAGCTTTACTTCGTTTCTTCGCACTTCCGGTAGTGGCTTTTTCACCACCAAACACTTTTGCCAGCAAAGCGCTGTTTGCTGGCACCGTTTCCAGGTCGTCCACATCATCGCGCTGTCGCTTTTTGCTCGAACTCGCGAATGCTGTACATGTAGTTTGCTGTAGCCCTGATGAGCTTGATGACGCCTGGCCAGCACCATAAGTCAATGTCGCCATGCTAGGCCCATGTTGAACACTCCCAGAAGCTCCACCCCTGACAACCAACAGTTTTTTCGGTGCCAGCCATGGTGGCAGCGGGTCATCTTCATCGTCGACGTCCTGGACTTCGCCGATGTTGTTTTGGTAGACACTCATGGCTCTATATTTTTTTTTCTGGTACTTCCGAAAGACAGTTTCCTCTCTCACCAATCTTGCGCCGAAAGCTTTGCCACACACGCCAAGAAAGCGGTCTTTCTTCTCCTGTGCTTTTAGCCGTTGTGTTGACTTCGACTTTTCTTGTTCGTCCATACTAGGAACATCATTCGTGGACCATGAAACCTGCTCTAGTACTCCTGTTTTCATCCCTACAACCTGTTGTTCTACTTGTACTTGTTGACCACGCTTCTGCGTCATTCGTTCCACATCGGCGTTGTGGTTCTCTATGACTTGCATGGCGCTTCCCGGTAATGGCTCGATCGCATCTGGCAGTGGCACTACGTAGTTTGCGTCCTTCGGCGTCTTAATGAATCCGCCAACATTGACTTGGGTCTTCCCAATCTGATTCAGACGGACGCGACACATGACGCATGTGTGCCCCGTTGTGGCGCAGACTTCGTTGCGGACGCGCGCACAGAAAGTTTCGAAATCCGGGTGCTTTTCCAATTCTTCGGTAATGCGGCCTTTTTCTGATCCACCTTGCGAGGACTTATCATCTTGCTTCTTGCTGCCGCTGTTCTTTTTGTATTTTTTATCTTTCTTGCTGGTACCCGCCGCCACAGAAGCTGTGTTATGTTTGTTCGCTTTGAATGAAAAAATCACGGCGCGAAGTGCTTCATTCGTCTTGCGCTCGAATCCCGTCTGATTTTTGGTAAAGTCGCTCGAATGGTACAACTCTGAAAGGGTTTTCCCATACGGAGCTGTTGCACCGGTTTTTTTGTCCGCTTTCGGCATCTGCATTCTCGTGTCGTAGGAGGTCTTGAACTCTTCGAGAGTTTGAGGTGGGTTCCACTTCGTGCTGGTCCAGTTCGTGTACGGAGAGTTTTCACCTCCTCCCTGCGGTCTGTGCTTTTTCTCACGGTCTACACGGCGAGTGGCACACGAATTTTTCGGGAACTGTTACGCAGGCTTCAATAGCCAGCAGATAGCGCAGAATCTGGTCGGCTTGTTGACCATCACCGGCGCCAGCTCTTTGCGGGATATCGGCTGCAGTATATAGTTGTCCGCGACCTTCTTATCGTTCTGCTTCTTGCGCGTCTCGTAGTCCTTGTGCAACTCTTGGATGTACGGTTCGCAAATTTTGTTGAATAAGCGCACCAACAATTTCCTCAAATTTGCGCGGAAGCATTTCGCGTCCATGCCGGTTTTGGGATACACCTTTGCTAGGACTAAAAGCATAAACCAGTCACGCTTATCCTCCGGTAGTTCCGGTCTGGTGTGGTATGAACGAGGAGGTGGTCGGCTGAAGCAAACGAAAGTAGAGATCTCTCTGTCTAAAATTAGTTGAAGTTGAAAAAATTACGGACACAGACAAACGATTAAACAGGGCGATATATTTCATGTAGAAACATCTGAGCTACGACTCATTTAAGACTTAAGTGCTACAGTCATTGCCAAGCTATTTTCATCGAAAAAACCCTTTTTCGTCATAAGTTGACATTCTTGCAAACAGCCCAGGCGTTGCCAAGTGGCTTATCCCCTGCTTGCGTAATCCCCACTGCCGTCAGTACCAAACTGCGAATCATACTCGGTAGTGTGTCAAATCGGTTCTCCTCCGTTATTGCAGGCAGTTTCTTTGCGCGGTCAGTCATTATGAGTGCCAAGTCTAACAGAATCTTCACTATGACCCATTGAGCGTTGGGAATCGTCAAGGAGCCGTCAGTTCTTCCTCCGGTGTGCATTGTGACAGCGCGCTGCAACGTGGAGGAGTTTTGTATTACTTTAGAGACGGCCATGCGCCACATCTGCACATCTGGTTTTGCAGTCTCCTCATCCCATGGAATGTAAACTGACTTTCCCATGAATATCTCCTCAGCTTCACCTTGTTCTTTCAATGCATAACGCGAGAAAATCGGAATGGGAATCATCGGGGCAGTAGAGATTAGAATGACTAGAAGTCTCTATGTGTTACTTCTTGTTACACGACGTCAAGTGCCTTCGTGCCTACTAGCCATGGGCGATCCCTATATAGTTCATCTTTAGGAAGACATCACTTCATACGAATCAAGACATCTCTTCATACGAATCCAGACATCTCTTCATACGAATCAAATCAAGAAGCTACTGCCTAAGGAAGCCTAACAAAGTCCAAATAGATGAAAGGTTGAAGAAGTTTTACCATTACTAAGCTGCGGGATTCATTTGATCTAGTTCGAAAAGGTCCTTAAATTCATCGTCGGACGATAGCACAGCGTGGTCTTCTCTTCCTTCTTCTTTTGGTTGTCGCCGCTTGTACTGCTTACTTGGTCATTGACCGCAATGCCCTCTGTGGCCATGTCGACGCTGAGAATCTCGGAGTAAACTTCTGGCTCGACCGTCATGATGCGGTCAGAGACGCCGCAAATTGAAGGAGTAATACTGGTGGGATCGATTTCGACCTTTCTGCGCTTTTGCATCGCGGAATTATTTTCCTCCTCGTCGCTAGTAGATGCGACGCCATCTGCTGCGTGTTTTTGTACAACAGAGGACGACGAGTATGCGCCGGTCGCTATAACCATCTCTCCAGGTCCAGGTGGCGTTGTAACATTGTCAAGCATCTGAGGCGCACTATTCGTGGTGCTCCTTGAACTCATAGCTGCTCTTTTTCTAGCGTCCTCTGCCTTCTTGCGTTCTTGCTCTTGCTCCCGTTCTGCCATGCGCTCTTCGACCGCCTTTAGGAGTTTTGCATCAGGTTTGAGCCTCAGAAAGTCCTTTTCTGGGCCACAAATCGCTACTACCTGGTTCTCGAACTCGCGCATGTTCACGGTATCGATCACCGCGTGTAAAATCGTTTGGCAAACTTCCGGTTGGCTGTAGTATCTCAAGAATTCGTCACGGTCCATGTTGTGCAGTGTGGAGAGGTTCGCCTTCGTGGTGTCGGCCTTTTGCTGTGCGCGCACGCCGCGCTTGTTCTTCGCAGCGATTTCCACTATCATGGCATATGTGGCATTCGGCTTACGCTTTCTGGATAAATCAAAGAAACGAGCGAGATAATCACACTTTCGCTTTACCGATGTGACCATATTTTTTAACTGCCGTGCTGCGCGCAGTTAGTCCAAGTCATTGGTTTGCCAAGCAAGCGCTAGCGCCTCGGCCGGAGTTGATGCTGTCTTCTCGAGAGAAGTTGTTGGTACCAAGGCTACCGCCGCATTCCCCATCTTCACATCAGACGACAAATCCGTGCTCACCGCAGTATGGATTGATAGCGCAGACGCATTCGACAGCGCTCCAGGCGAAGACCCAGCAAGAGCCGCTCCTGCACTCTTCGAAGCACTTAAAACCAGTCGCTCGTGTAATTGTAGTAGCTTCGGCGCCACCTCATCACTCCATGCCTGCATCAGCTGGCCCCGCACCGTCGAGATTTGAGCTTCGTTCGCGACCCATTCGAGGTGGCTCAACAGCAATTTCAGGGTTTCTCCGATGTTTTTCTCCAGTCGTTTCGACAGCTCAGTCTCAAAAGCCGCATGGCACTTCGATAGAAGTTCCCTCTTGCGTTGTGTGGCTAAAGTGTTTTGAGCATCTTCCTTTGATCTTCCAGTCGCCGCATCGAATTCAGGCTCGTCGGCATTCTGAAGTTGTAAGTCTGAGATTCCCGCTGCTGCATCGTTGATTCGGTTCTCCTCGTGGAAATTTGTGGTAAGATCATTCAGCCTTGCTTCGATTTCGCTGGCGAAACTGTGAAAGAGCTCTGGAATAAACATCTCCTTCTTCACAAACGCAGCGAATTCAGAAATGCCAACATACTTTCCAGGTGGCACCAGAATCTTGCCTGCGCAATCAACAAAAGCCCTTTCTGGATGTTGTGCAGATTGATTCTGGTGAGCAATATTCTGGGTCGCGTCTTGAAATTCATTTGATGATGGGAACACCTTCGCAAACGCCCAATTACGAATTCGCTCCAGCAATTCAGATACTGTAAGACTCTTCTCCTTCGAGCCATCCTTCTTCTTCTGGCTGTCCTTGTGCTGACTGTTCCCGACGTTCAAAAACGTGACTGCCTCGGTGACGTCCGCGAAGGCGTCGTCGATCAAGGTGGAGCCGCAACCGCTCGGGCCCTTGCGGAGCACCCGTGCGGCGAGAATTTCTCTCTTTTTGTTCTCGTTCACCACCACAGCCAGAACCACAGACTTCTGTCCAAGAAGCATCAACGGATTCATGTCAATCTGGCCGAAAGCCGACTCTATTGCCTCCGGCGAGACCTTGATCGCTCCCTGATTGTGCAGGTCTTCAGGAACTTTTACACTGGTGTAGATCACACAGAGACACTCTTCGAATGCTTTTCGGGGACCGTCCACGAAACCCATTACCTCGTAGGGGATGCGGTTTGTGTCGTCTAGAATCAGCAAAGTTGGATTTTTGGACGGACACCAACGCATCAAATTTTCGTCCACTTTGCCCATCATCAACAACGCTGGTTGCCGTGTCTGCTTCGCGCTGCTCACCTGTCCTAAAAACGCTTTGGTTGGCTGTTTCTTAGTATGCGGAGAACTAATCTTCACAGAGGTACTTGTATTCTCATCTTGTTCTTTCATCTTCCAGCGACGAAAGCCATTGGTAAACTCGATGAAATTTGCAGTGTTCAAGAGCGAAAGATATTGAGACGAATCTAGTTTGTTGTCTTTTCCATGTGCAGGCGAAGTTGCCGCTGATGCCGAACCTAGGCCTATAAGCGCTTGCAGAATCGACGACGCCGTCTTCGAGTTGGATACGATGACTGGGCCTGGAGAATTCGCAAAAGGATCCTCGATTTCAACAGAAGTAGCGGCACTTTTTTCCTCGACCGTGGTTCCAGACGCGGAGCTCTTTGCCGATGACGCGAGTGCTCCCGTCATCTGCCCTTGTGCTCCTGCCGCTATAGCCGTGGCTTCCTGGCCGCTTGCATCGGCTTCGTCTGCTCCCTGTTCATCAGCAGCAACAGCGTTGCGTCCCTCAATCTCTTCTAGAGACGGCGCAGAGGTAAAGTAGGACTTCGCGAGGTCATAGTAATGCTTGTAGCACTCAGCTTTTACCGGAGCCGACTGGTCTATATGCGCTGGACAATAGCCCTCTTGTGCAGTGTGAAGGTAGAACCGAATTTTAGACTTCCAAGACGAGCTAGCTGCTGCTTGTGCTGTTCCATCCTGACCTGCCCATCGGCTTGCAATGCTGCTTCGCTGTGCCGCGAGCATTGCTGGAGTAAACACTTGAAAACTGATTGCGCCATAGGTGACGCTATTTCCGATTCGCTCGTTCATGGGAGCCGGGCAGTAGTACAGTGTATTGACGCCGTTCTCATCCACGTGCATGAGCATCACAATCGGGCGGTCCTCCGACCACGCTTTCAATTTCGTACGGTTGTAGCCTGAAAATAGCACACAGCCAGTGTTTTCGCTTTGCGCCTGCGGACCACGCAGTTCTTCCGGACGAAACTGGAATTCGTGTACCAGCATGTCGCACCTCTTAACGCCATTCACATATTCGGCCCCCACTTGGTCGCCGCTGCCAAAAGCTAAGCTTCCCTCAAAGCGCGTTTTGCAGTACGTTAAATTCAGCTTCGAGGTCGCACCAGCTAGACTCAGGTCGTAGTAAGTGGGTTGTTTTTTCGAGTAGACCACTATGAAAACACGGCCATCGGTGAGCATAAAGTCGTCCCCGGGATTCATCGGCCGCAGCAAAGGGGTTTCCAAATCGACGAGTGCTTTCTTTATGGGGCTGTTTGAGTCACGCAAAGACCCTGGCTCACGCAAGTAAGCGAGCGCCCGCTGAACTTTGTCGTACGCAGACTGAGTGTCGAAACTCAGATCCGAGACCCCCTGAACAAACTGCAAGCGGTCTAAATTAGAAAGCAAATATAAATCTTTTCAACTAGAACAGCCACACGTTAGT